ATTTACTATTATTATTTTTTTTTTTGGTTTTTCTTTTTTCGTTGAATGAGTATTTTTTAATTAGTAAGAATAATAACATAGAATTATTTGTTTTTTTCTGTTTTTTTTTTTTTTTTGTTTTCAAAGTATTTATTTAATAGTATTTTACAAATATTTACATTGTTGCATTATGCATTATTTTTATGTTTAGAATTTAACTTTTACTAAATTAATTGGTTGGTTGTTTTTTTTTTTTTTTTTTTTTTGTTCTGTGTTGTGGCCTTAAATCTGGTATTTAGCATTTTTGTTTTTTGTGTGTAATTTATCAATATAACTAAACTAAAAATAGAGCTTAGATCCTATAGAGATTTATTATATTTAGGTTTTTTGTGTCTTCTGTTTGTGGTTGTTTGTTTTTTTTTATAAAAAATATCTTTTTTATCCTTAGAATCAGAAAGAGTTTACATTTGTGTGAGTGGTTGATGTTTGTTTTAATTTTTACAGCGCTTTAAGAGTTGTGTTGTGTTTTTGTATTTCATTTCATATAAAAAAATTACAATTTAAACAATTTATTTTTTTCGCTAGAAACACAATAAATATAAAATCTTTCAAAATAAGCATTTTGTATTATTGCTATATGATTTGTTTTATTTTTTCGAACATAAAAATAAAAGAATGTTTAGCGTTTAATATAATAGATTTGTTTGTTTTAATTTTTTAGTATTTACAGAGTTCCATTGAATGTAACACAAGGTGACACAGGTTAATGTTCGGAGGGAGATATATGTAGGTGAGGGAGAATGTGTATAAGCAATAATAGCTTAGAAAATTTGACTTACATTAACTGGAGGATATTTTAAATGCATATCTGCATCGAACAGTACTTTTGGAGAACGTTCTTCAAGAGTGAAGTGGGAAAATGTGGTTAGGGCTTTTAAATGAGCATTCTAAGTTTTACAAGGAGTTCCTCAACCTTAAGCTTAATAATTGTAAAGGGCCGATCTTTCGTTTTCAAAAGGTTATCCCATGACATAAAACCTCAAAAACGTAAATTCGGACAGTTTCTCTATATAAAAGGTTTTTAAAGGAGTTCCCCAACCTTAAGCTTAATAATTGTAAAGGGCCGATCTTTCGTTTTCAAAAGGTTATCCCATAACATAAAACTTAAAAAAAAACGTAAATTCGGACAGTTTCTCTATATACGGGTCAATCATACTCTATTGAAAATTCTAAATTATCTTAATTTCGGCTCGAAAGTCTTGCTTTTTGCAAACCTACATTTTATTCGTTTGTAAATTATGGATCAAACCTGCAAAATATCGAAATCGGAAGATATGGAACTATTTAAAATAGTGGATATATCGTACATTTCCAAAACTTTTATTTCCATTTCAAATAGTGGAAAAATATTGATATTTTTGCAAGAATAAATGCAATCTACTGGGCGAACAGATGCCCCAAAAAAAAAAAAAAAATAAATAAATAAAATAAATACCGTATTTATCTTTGGAGGCAATAGTTTTCAGGGCATTTGGAGTCGATCTATGCAATACCGTCTGTCTATCTATCTCTCAGTCTGGAATATCTGATTTAGTTCAAACATTGCACTTCGAAATATTAAGATAAGGCTTAGACCAGCTCTGAAAATGGACAATTTTGTTCAACTTATTTATGGACCTCCCCCAAAAAAAGACAAAATTTTGAGTCTGAAATCAATGTCTGTTTTTTTTTTTTTTTTTGAGATTTTGTATATCCTTGTACTTGTGTTCATATTAAAGCAAGATTGAAAATGTAAAAACACCAAAAACTGGCTCCATAAAATATTAGGATTGCTGACTATCTATCTCTCAGTCTGGAGTATCTGATTTAGTTCAAACATTGCACTTCGCAATATTAAGATAAGGCTTAGACCAGCTCTGAAAATGGACAATTTTGTTCAACTTATTTATGGACCTCCCCCAAAAAAATGTGGAGTCTGATATCAATGCATGTTTTTTTTTTTGAGTTTTTGCACATCCTTATACTTGTGACCATATTAAAGCAAGATTGAAACTGTAAAAACACCAAAAACTGGCTCCATAAAATATTACTATTGCTGACAGTGTCGGTCAGAGCATTTCTCTTATATTTAGCAATCTTCTTCCTTTGTCCACTATTACAGTTCTTAGTTGCCCTTATAGTCCCTCAGATTGGATTTGGCTATGGATAAAAATCCACTTTGTATAAAAAATTGGTATTCTGCAAAATTCTTGGAAAAACTTACTTCTTAAGTCGGATTGCTGTTTGAAAAACAATGACGGCCAGAGGTATTTCTGACTTGTAAAACATGAATATTCTATTGAGCCGCAATTTAGCGCTCTTTAGTATTAGCGAAGAGTATGTGAAATTAATGTTTACAAGTCCTCTAAGTCCAAAATTTCCAGGACCATCAGAAAGATTTATTTAAAAATTCATGACTATAGCCCTCCTGATTTGTGAGAAACTATAGCTCTATATACCACCATCATGTCCTCTTAGTAATTCTAAAATAATTGTTTATGACTCTCCAGACATGTAAGCAAATGTTCGAGCTTATGACTTATAAGGTATACAGCTCAGAGGTCTCCTAATAAATCGTTCTTTAAAGGTCCAGAGTACTCAATAATGTTCTTCTAAAGTCCAATGTTATGACTCATATTATATTTGAACGCAGTTCCTTGAAAATCGACGTTTACAGCGTAGGTTGCGTCTAAATAATTACTTTTTAAAATCCACTATTGTAGCTCAGATGGCCCCTATTGCAATAGTTCAGAATGACAGAGGACTATTGAAAACTATTCATAAGCACTCCATGATTACAGATAATGTGGTCCCTTAAAAAACTTTTCTTTTTCCTTACATCTCATACAACCTATAAAAAATTCCCTTTCAATAGTCCATGACTTGCAGCTCATGTGTCACCCAATAAGTTCTTCCACTATTACAACTCAAAAGATCCCTTAAAATTATTCTTTAATATTACAGGATAACAGCTCAGATGACCCGTGAAACGCCATTCTAAGTCCCCGATTTAAGGCCCTTGAAAATGTTTAAAGTCTACGATTATATCTGCAATTATTTCAATTTTTCCCTTCTTGGGGAAAAATAAACGAATTGGCATATGGTGTCTCAAATGCCGATATAATTGGCCTTGAATATATCGCTCATATAAAGTCTGCAAATTAACATTGGTTTAGCCCAAAGCTATCAAAACTCTTTTTTTTTTTTTTTTTTTTTTTTTTTTTTTTTTTTGTAAAGAGGTACAATGTCAAAAATGTTCATGAATTTATATTCAAAGCTATATATTGAAAGCTAGTACCCCCCACCTTAGGGTAAAGAAAATATTAGAACCCATTATGACCCCCAAATACCAATTTTTAAACATATTCGTGGGAAAATGTGGCAAAAACCATCAAAATACCGAGTATCGGGAGGTACCATTATATGGGGGCTATGTCAAATCGTGTACCTATACATAAAATATTTCGCCACCGGAGCTAGAACCCATTATGATAAATCCGTGAAAAAAAAATTTGGCAAAAATCATCAAACTACCAAAAATCGGGAGGTACCGTTATATGGGGCTATACAAAAATGGGAAACGTGTATCGCCAATGGAGCTAGAACCCATTAGGACACACAAATACCAATTTTAAGACACATCCGCAAGAAATGTGGCAAAAATCATCAAAATATCGAATATCGGAAGGTACGGCTATATGGGGCTATACAAAAATGTGAAACGTGTATCGCCAATGGAGCTAGAACCCATTAGGACACACAAATACCAATTTTAAGACACATCCGCAAGAAATGTGGCAAAAATCATCAAAATAACCAATATCTGGAGGTACCGTTACATGGGAGCTATACCAAAACGTGGACTTAAACATACAATGTTCTGCCACTGCAGCCAGAACAAATTATGGCCAACAAATACCAATTTTTAGACAAATCCGTGAAAAAATGTGACAAAAAACCATCAAAATACCGAGTATCGGGAGGTACCATTATATGGGGGCTATGTCAAATCGTGGACCTATACATAAAATATTTCGCCACCGGAGCTAGAACCCATTATGATAAATCCGTGAAAAAATTTTTGGCAAAAATCATCAAACTACCAAAAATCGGGAGGTACCGTTATATGCGGACTATACCAAAACATGGACCGATATATCTTATTTTCAGTACTAACCATCCTAGACACAATACAAATTGTTCTGACGCTCTACGTCAAATAATGTGGGCTGTATCGTGATTTCAACAGATAGACGGACATTGTAAAATCGACTTAGAATTTTATGCTGATTATGAATATATATAATTTATGGGGTCTACGACGAATGCTTAGGGATGTTACAAACGGAATGACAAAGTTAATATACCCTCCTTTCCAAGGTGGAGGGTAGAATAATATAATAAAATTGGGTTTACATACCCCAACCTTCTTACAATGCTACATATCTGCTACTGAATATATTGTAATCTCCGAAAGTATTCCAATGCATAATTAAAAAAAAAAATACAAAAAACTAAAAAAATTATTTTGAAATCTGTGAAAATAGTTAGGTCTAAAACACAACCATATATTCCCCGCAAACCATTATCCTGTGTCTAATTTGTAGGGATTTTCTTTTTTTTAATGTTTTTGTAATTTTTTTCCAATTTATGATTTAGATTCTTTTCATACGGATCTTAACTTCACCTAAAAATAAGCTTTTATGAAAAGATAGACTTAAACAAGTTAGGCTATGTTAAAAATTTTACATCTCTTTTGTGATAAATGTTGCTGCATTATTCTGCTAATGCAGTTTCGGGTCCATGCGTTTGTTGTTATTTTTTTTTCTTTTTTCATTTTTGCTAACTGAGTAATGTTTATCATATATGTAACTATGAAATTAAGAAAAAAAATGTAAATTAAAACAATGGATAAAAATATTAAAAGAGTTTTGAAATGTTTTCTTAAAACTTAAAAAAAAACATAAAATATGTATGTGAATAAAAAATGATATAAAATAAAACAAGATTTTATTAGTTATCGTAACTATATATGATTGGTGGTTTTGAGTGAATTGTAATATTGTATTTTCTGTTCTTCCTTTGTTTTGTTTTTATATATTTTTTTAAAGAAGAAAAAAAGGGATGTTTCATTGTTCTTTTCCTATTTAAATATACAATTTTTTTTGCTGTTGTTTGCATTTCATTGCCAACTGAATCCAAACTGAGAACAACAAAAATAAAAAATAAAACATGTAAAATTGTACACCTTTTGTTCTATACGTTTTGTTGTTGTTGTTATGGCTGTTTTTGTTGTTGTTCTTGTTATATGTATGTTCTCTTTTGTTATTCATTTAAAACCGTTACTTTTCGTTATTGTTGCTGTTGTTCTTGTTTGTAGTGTTGCTTTCTTTTGTTTTTTGTTATTGTATTTAAAAACTATTTTAAAAACCATTTCAATATTTCATATTTCATACTGCATGCTGGCTGGCTGGCTGGTTGGCTTGTTTCCTTCATTCTCATTGTGAGCGAGTGAGTTTTTGCGGGTATTTGTGATTTTTTTGTTTTGTTTTTCATTTTCTCCCTCCTCCCCCCCAAGCAGCCTGACTTGATGGTGCCGGAGTTTCGGAGGTTTTTGTGGCAGGATTGTTTTTTTGTCATTCTATATAGTAACTTTTTGTTTACCTTCTTGTTGTCGTTTTCGCTTGTTGTAATTTGTTGTTTGCAGTTTTATTTGTGGGCGTGTTAAAATGTCCATTCATACATATCTATCTTGTCGGCATGTTCACTTGCATGTGAGTGAGTGTGTGTGGCTGTGTAAGTGAATTTTTATTTCCGTTTTCCATTTCGAAATAAAATCAACTTAAATTTAAATCCTGTATCTTTAGATTTGTTGTGTGAGTTGTCGCTTTTTTTTAAAGTTTTGTGTTTCGTTTAAAATCCTTTTAATCGATTCGTCTTCTTTTTGTGTTCTGGGTTTCCATAAGCTGATGCTGATACTTTTGTTTCGCCTCGATTTTTTGTATTTTTTTTTTCGTTTTTTTAATATTTTTTTAATTTTATCTTGCTTTGTTTTGAAATTAACTTAAGTCATATTTTGAATAAAATTTGTAAAAGGAAACATAAAAAAACTGATGTGTGTTGGGAAATATTGTCGTTTAAAAGCTTAAAAATGTCAGTCTTTAGTAAGTAGTTTGATGATCTGTAAAGAAAATTTGGAAGAAGAGAAGAAAATAAATAAAAAATTATTAGGTTGAAAAGGAATATGATGGGAAAAATATTTTAATTGAAAAAATGTATGTATTTATACAGGGACATGCTCTGGGTAGACTAATAAAGTATTTTTTCGAACGGAATATAGTGACAATATTTCATTTAAAAAAGTGATGTTTTTGGAATACATATAGTGTATTTGAAAATATAAAACGATATTTAATGGCTCAAAGTCATCTAGAATGTGTAAATTTTATTTTTGTAAGATATTTTTAATTTATTTTCTAGTCTCAGCTGAAAACTTGTAGAAAATAAACAGCTCAAATAGTATCTAAAAGTATCTCAAAGATTTATATACATTTTCTGAGTTCGATTTGACTAATTTTGAATTATTCATTAATTTTTGTGTGAATGTCTGTCAAAATTACTAAGTTTTTTAGAAATAGAGGAAAAATTCCTCAATTTTTAATATTAAAAGTCGATGCATTTTGAAGGAATGCATTAAAACAATAATCACTTACCATTAGGTCAGACTACATTGTCATTACTATAGACTTCATTTATATGCTTTCCGGACGATTTATCTTTCATATTGCATTGCTGAAAATAGATAAGAAAGAAAATTTGTTATAAAGTGGCAAATGCTGTACTGCAAAATCTCTGCAAATTAAAATTGTCATCTTCTCTACGAATACGCTACCCTCCATGCAAAATGTATAAGGCACAAGAGCGATGGTATCCCAAACCTAATATTATTCTCTATGTAAAAATCAATAATTAGAGATCTCATAGTTCTTGAAAAAATCAAAATATTACACTTAGAGATCCGAAAGTACTTTTAGATCCTTCGAATGCTACTGTATACCCTCAGCAGTATGGCTACAGAGGATAAATCAAACATTTTCACATTCTAACATTTTTGTCTTACTAAGATTCAGTTCGAAGATGGGTAAAATCGGTCCACTTCTTTCCTCAATTTTGGGTTTTCCAATATTTCAACAAATTCCAGAAATATTGTTCATATTGCAAAAATCTGGTGCGGCCAGATGGTGCGTGTGATGGTTGTGAGTTCTGTTGAAATGTCCAAGGTCTGCGGCCAAAATGTTTGCATATCCAAGGCTTTAATACACCCTCCAGAATATTTTCGCGATAATATTCGGCATTTATTCTGATGCCACGGTGTTAATACGAGCGGAGAGCGACCTTCGGCAGTTAATCCACCCACACAATCGCCATTGCCGGCGCTTGAGTTCTGGTGACCAACCGAAGGTGCACATTTTCAGGCTGACCCATTTGGCAAGTAAACACGATCATTTTTCTTGTTTACAAACTACTGGACAACGAATGTTTTCTCATCGGAGAAAAGCAAATTCGGCAGTTCACCACTTTCGGCCAAGCAAAACAACTCTTTAGCTCTTTTGAGTCTATTCTTCTTTCTGTTGCGGTGTAAGTTCTTGCACTTTTTGGAATTTCAATGGCTTTACTAATTTTTCAATATTTGCCGAATGGAATATTGCGATATATTCTGCTCACGAGACATTTTTCGGCCACTGCGACGCGGGTTTCGATCATGTCACTTCTTTATTTTTCGAACCATTTTTTCATCTCACCCTGTATATTTATCGGTTCAAAAATATATGGGAATCAAGTTTCACCAAAAAAGCATAAAGTTCAAAATTAAACTTCTTCTAGAGTCGAAGTAAACACCTGCCTTATATTTTGGAATTTTCAACAGTTTATTTTTTAACGTTAAATTTTATGGATCCAAAAAAATGCTCGAATAATAAAAATTCGAAATTCAAGCCTTAAATTTCATTAATCGACCATTTAAACATTAACATACCATAATTAATGGGAGCAATGCTTTAAACAGTCTATATACCCACAGACACACATACATCCAACCATCCCTCTTTAATGGTATCTGCTACGGGATTTGGTTACTTGTTCTTTCCTTTTAGTGGGTGCTTTGAACACCTTCACGGTAGTTAATGGTGTCCTTGGCAGTTAATTCATTCGCGTTTACGCATTAAAAAGCTGTTCGCTGGCATCTTTTGTGTGTCACTGTGGGCGAAGAGGATGTGTTTATATGAGAGAGCAAGATGGAGATAACACGTGAAAAATGTTTTTTTTTTCTCCAGCTGAAATTATACGTTGCTAATTGTTTTTAATTAATTTCGAGTTTTTTTCTCGTTCGTTCGTTCGTTCGTTCGCTAACTTTATTCATTCAGTCACTGGCTGATGCTGGTTTTTTTTTGTGGATCTCCGTTCCTTTGTTTTGTAATTTTGCTCTTTCATCTGTTTGTGTAATAAACATTTTACGGAATTCTTAATTTAGAATGTTATTTTTGTTGTTGCTGTTGTTTTGTTCTTGTATGTCTGTTGCCAGTATTTTCTTACAATTAATTAAAAGAAAAAAAGAACCTGTACAAATGAAGGACATGGCCAGAACGTAAAAATCATATGTTTTGCTCTCAACAACTACCTTTTGGTGCCCCCTCTCCCCTATAATATTTTCTCCGGTCCTTCTTTGCCTTGGTGCAAACATAAACATGTTCGCTTCATAATGACCAACTTTATGTCCAATTCAATATAATTTGTGTTTCTAAGATTTGCGAGCTGTGTGATTTACTCTCCGCTTCCTCGGGGGGGACGGTTGTAAACGAAATTTTATTTATGATTTGCGGAGCAATTAAAAATTTCATTTTAAGGTTTTTTCTCGTACCACTTGGAATTTTCATTTCCACTGCGTAGCTAAACCATGAAACTAGAAAAAGAACGAGAGTGAGAGAGTTCGCTTTGGAATTTTCTTGATATTAGCTTGGTTTATTAGCCGTATGATTTATGTGGCTAAAGTTATTAATGAATTTATTGCGCACATAAATTACTGAGTATTTCATTACGACTGTTTGTTTGTGAGCAAACAACGGTTATTAATTTTTAAGGCAAATTGCTGCTGTTGTTGTTGTAAAAATTTATTAATCGGTAATTAGGCGGAAATTGTTAACAATAATTTTTGGTAATTCGATATATTTAATGGACAAAACGAGTAGTCGTGGCTTTTTCATTGGGGGTGAATTCAGCGGAAATTGCAAGGAAATAATTAGTTAGTATGATATGATATTAAGTGTATCAAAAAATTTTATATATCTAGGATAAAGACAACTACAGTTAACTATAATACTGTCTTATTTTGATAACTTTAATTTCAACAATTACGAAATATCATAACTGTCATTTAAGTGAAATTATCCTATTAAGTATTATTTTCAAAGACATTCGATGCGGCTTTCAATGCAGTATCAGAGAGCACCTGCTGTCTCCCCTCTTAAAAGTTCGAGAAATTTTGGAGCATTTTATGAGAGCTATGCTTACTAAAATCCCAACCCAGATTGTGGTAGAGCTACCAGGGGTGGGCCGATATTGCAGCATCTTAAAAATATGATGTTTTTGAAATATTTTACCATTTATAGAGGAGAACCCAGTAGGCGTGGACTTTTATCCTAGACCAAATGTTGCCAAAATACTGAGGTTTAAGGCAAATCGCACATAGCGGTCAAATTTAATAAGAATTTTTTTTTAACTTTATTCAAAATTTGACACATCGCTGGGCAGGTACCAGATGGAATGGTCATATATTGTCCATCTTGGCACCTAAAGTATCAGATACAAGTTTGACCATAACTTTGCACTACATCGGGTATTCGGCATATTTTTATACCCGAGAACAAATTTGCTCAGTTTTACTCTGGAGCGAAACTAGCTTGCGAACATGATTGCTCGAAGAGTAAGACTCTTTTGCGGAGTCTACATTTCACACTCTTGTTTTCACTCCCGAGTCACTCTTGTTTGAAAAGTTTAAGTGGCGACAGAATCGCTCAAAATAGAAGAAAACTTTGCTCCACGAGTGAAAATTAGCGAAATTTTTTTTGTTTTCCGTTTTGTGTGTGTAACGCCAAGGGGTGTTTAACGTTGCTGTGTTCTGTGTAGAAGGCGAGATCTTGTACAGAAAAATACATATATAAACACACAAGGGTATAACAAAGAGTAGAGTCTAATCGATTTTGAAAAAATTTTGCTCTCAGTAAAAAAAACGAGGTAAATATGTTCACTAATATTCGAGCGATATCGAAAAATTGAGTTCACAGGAGTGCACTCGCTCGATTTCGAGTGAGTTTCACTCTTTGAACAAATTCAAGCAAGTTAGTATGGAGGGTATATTAAATTTTTCCTTCAGTTTGCAACACCTTGATATCTATTTTAGACTCGACAAAGTACATACCCCTGATCAATACAAAATTCTACGCTATCTAGTCATATCCGTCCGCCTCGGGAATTCATTCTAGTTTCAGAACGAACTGAAATGGGTTGCTAAAATTATACTCAAATGTATCTCAGGCCCTAAAATTTCTGATGTTGAAAAAGGCATATCTTGGTCCTCGTTTTGCTAGAGACCCATATAATTGCAAATGTAGATTTAAGGTGTTTTTAGGTCTTTAAATCGCATTTTTAAGCCAAAGTGACAGTCTGTTTTGTATCGCAGATATCCTTGCCGAAAACTGGACCAAGTTTTCATAGAGTACCTATATAACTGTGCCTTTTAGATATTCGGAATTTTAAAGGTTTGTGTCCACCTCTCAGGTGAATTCTTACAAATTTTGTAATGATAGTACTCGTTACAAAATTTGTAAGAATTCCCCTGAGAAGTGTGACAGAACATTGCCTCTGCAGGTCCACGTCTTCGTATAGCCCCCATATAACGGTATCCCCCAATATTTGGCATTTTGATGATTTTAGCATAGTTGAACAGAAATATTAAAAACATTTTTCACGGAATTGTATTCAATGACAGAAAATTAATATCTTCGTGTTTTAATAATTTTAGCGGAATTTTTACAATTTTTCGAGTTCCTTCCATCTGGCAGAAGGTATTAAAAATTCAAAGTAAATATTGATTTTTTTTTTGTTTTAGAGATGCTGAAAAGTTATACCGATTTATATTATTTTGAAAGGGTTGTGCAAAAAAGAGAGTACTTCTACGTTCAAAATAAGATAGCGTATACCAGAACCAGAAGAATTCTATGTGACTTTAACCCGGGGCCAGACAAATGCGGTCACGCATACTCTCAGCTCGCACACATCTACAATCAGAACCATTAAAAAACAAACATTTGAAAAACTCTCTGTCCGGCTCTGTTGTAAACTACCATCAATGACTCTAATAGTGTATATGGGGATAATATATCTTATTGAGAATATGCGTACCTGTATTTGTCCGACGCTGTTTTTAATGAGAAGTCGGCAGCGAGCTGTCAATTATGCAGGCAGTGTTTTCGCTTGTTTCATGATTTGTTTTTTTAATAATTTAATACATGATTATCATCGAAAGAGCGATCGTCGTGACTATGTGCTATAGCAATGTTATTTGTAAGGTTTGCCGACCCCTGTTTCATATTTGGAACAGACAAATGGAGGTTCGTGTGCTCTCAGATTTTTACTGCATATCAGAATTCTGTCCTATTTCGGTTAGTAGACTGGACCAAGAGTAATAACATTAGGAACACATTGGTCTACATTTAGGGCTTTTAGGGTCCCTATCTTTGTGCATTTTTGCTAATTTTGAAGGTTCTAATCGCATTTTTCAACTGTATAGACTATTGATAAGTTTTAAACGATTTTAGGAATTTTGAGTCAATTTATTTGACAATCATAAACATCATAACATTTCGGCGTGTTGAACAAATTTATTGCAGGTTTTACTGGGGATCTCAGTGACAATATAAATATTTCAAAAGTCATAATATTCTCACATACTGATTCGACTTAGAGTTATTGAAATTTGTACCTTGAAGGTGCAGCTTTTCCAAAACATACATATACTCACAATTTTGCTTTCTATTTTAACAACTTTGTATTTGCTTCAGAATGTAAAACTTTCGTCTTTAAGAAACTTCAATACTCTCTTTAATTATCCATTTCCTTTACTACAACATCTTTACATTCGACAATTTCCTTTAATTTCTCTCCCTCTTACTTTTCTCTGTGTCTGCTATTAAAGTTGGATATTGGTAGGAAATTTATTGTATACGAACTTACCTCTTGTTTGGCCTGCCACTGTTTCATGGCTGATTTATATTTTTCAAATTCATTACACCAATGTGAGTAAATTTTCTGATAATCGTTTTTCTTCGATGGCGGTGTACATCTGTAATTAAAAATTACCGAAAAAAGAAAAAAGTAAATAAATTTAATGTAACAGTAGACAATGAGACAGAGATTCCAGTGAATAAGAAATCCTTGAAGAAAACAGAAAAAAACGTTAACGAACATTTTCGCTCTCTTAACCATAAATAAAAGTTCGGTCGCAAGAAATTGAAAAGAATGCATAGTGTGCTGTCGAGTGTTAATTTATGTACATTGATGAGCAGTAGTCGCCCGGAGATGTTACGAATAATAAAGGGTTATGAAATAAGCTTATGAGAGGGTTTAACTAAAATGAGTTATAATAAAAGGAAATTTGAAATAATTAATAAAATGTTTATTTTAATGGAGACATTTTGTTATTAATCAAGAAAAAAAATGTTTTCATTAAAAACTCGGGTTTATTGGGGATGATACTGTGATTTGAATATTATCTTTAGTTTTTATTTCTTCTAAATATACTCTCAAAACGTAAGGAAAAATATAACCTTTTTTCAGAAGGGCTATGGAAGACCAATGTTTGTATTTACATATTGCACAAACAGCACTTGAAAATAATTTTTACTAAAATTTAAATAGGAAAAGGCTTGAAAACTTTGTAAAGAAAATAATTAAATAAAATCTTCAACTTCTAAAGATATAATTATTAAAAAAAATATTATTTTTTAACTGACGAGTGTTAATTTTAACTATATATTTTTATTTATTTTTTAACCCCCTGAAATACGCCCTTCCAAGGCTAACCCAAGAATGACGTTTCTTCAGTACTGAAAATAATTTAAGCAAACGATGATGAGCCAAGTTCCGCAAAAGTAAACGTAAATAGAGACGAGAAGAAAAATACAACGAAAAGACACGAAAATGATATAAACTAAAGGAAAGACGTTCATAATTGCTGTAGTCAAACAAAAGGGAAATCGATGAAGTGAACATATGCCATAATAATTCCGCCAACACCATGGCAACAGAAGCTTAACATTAAAACATGCAGCCCGGCAAACAAGTAAGAAATTTGTGAGAAAAAAATGAAAAACTTTAAATTACTCAAAGAAAATCTTAAGCAATTTTAAGTAGAACGTGCTTGAACATAAATTTCCCAGCAACGAAACGGGAAGAACGGAAAATTCATAAATAATTAAATGCTGTCCTTGGTCATTTGTTTTTTTTCTGTTTCTCCAAAACAAATGTTCGTTAAGCTGATTTTCTTTAAAGTTTTCCTTTCAGGATTTTTGCTTCATTATATCCCCCCCAAGTCGCCACGTAACTTACCTGTGGGCATCAACATTGACGCTGTAACTGCACAGCAGTGTACCGCCTAAATAACTGTCATATCGTCCACCATCGCCTTCGTTAATTGAAATAATCACCAGACCACCCTCGGACGTTTCAATATATTTGGAGGGGGTAAAGGCAATTTCATAGCTGGAAAAAAGCACAGAAAAGAAAAATATTTAATTATTATTTTTAAATTTTAAAAATGCAGGTTTAAGACTATTTTTTGTGAAATGATTAGGAATATTCTTGGCAGGGAAAAGTTTTAATTGCCTAATGAGAAAAGGAAGTCCAATATTTATTTATTTATGGTCATTGGTACAATTAAATTTTGTGTTTAAAAGTAGTCGGTGGATAGGGGAAAAGTCAATAATTTTATTTTTAAATCTACGATTTTGGATCATCAGAATATTAAAAAATTAAAAAAAAAAACAATTCGTGGCCTGGAGGTCTCATAAAATACTTTACGAACATTTTTTTATCAAACAAGCAAAAACGCAGTAAGTTGTGCCGGACCGAACTTTCAATTCCCTCCAACATTTGGAACACATTTGGAAATTAAAAAAAAATAAATAAATAAAAAGTAAAATACTTTAAAAATTCCGTTAAAGTCTTAAAAATACCGAATATAGGGAGGTACTGATATTTAGGGGCTATAGGAAAACCTGGACCTGCATATACACTTTTCTGTCATAGACGGAAGTACCCATTAGGAACTTCAAGTACGAAATTTGAAACAATTTCGGCGAATAACGTCACTAAAATCATCAAAATACCAATATATGGGGGCTATACGAAGACCTGGACCACTATAGACAATTTTCTGTCATTGACTATAGTACCCATCACGAACTTCAAATAAGAAATTTGAACGATCCGGGTGAACAAAGTCACAAAAACAACAAAATACCGAATATAGGGAGGTAGCGATATATGGGGACTATACGAAGACCTGGATCTGCATAGACAATTTTCCCATTAGGAACTTCAGAACGAAATTTGAAACGATTCCGGCGAATAACGTCACTAAAATCATCATCAGTTATATGGGGGCTATAACTAAACGTGGACCTTTATTGCCCATTTTTAATATCAAAAGTCCAGCAGATGAATTCGTTCGGAAGCTAGTGTAATTTACACAGACGAACGGACAGTCATCGTTCAATCGACAGAGAATTTTATGCTGCTAATAATTGCAATTTTTTTCGAAATATTTGACCGTTTGTAGACTTAATTATCCCATTGTCGCACTTTGAAATTTTGGCAGAATTTTTAGGTTCTGTGAGGTCTGAAAAATCAGGTACTTATTTTACTTTCATGACTACTATTTTGAACTTTTTCAAATATTTTTTTCCACCTAGATATAATAGTTTCGGATATAATGGGATGCAAAAATTTTAAAGGAAATGACTACTTGTTGAGTGATACCAGAAGAAGTGGACCAATGTATCCACTTCAGATCATATATTGGTAGGAATATTGACAAATGTAAAGTTTAAGAAAATCCAACTGTAATTTTACATTTTTGACAGTTATTATTTTAAACCCTGACTTTTTGTTGTTGAGGTAGCAGATGGGGAGGGTCAATATATCACCTCTGAACTATCGACGTGTGTATCGAATATGTGTTGATAGAAGTATTGTAATATTGAGTTGTAGTTATTAAAATGTTTGATCTCTGGAACTGACCTTAATCTAATATAGATATTATGGTGGTGGAATTTGGCAGGCCAGACATAATGCTGGGTGGATTAACATGCCCCGAACGGATTTTTTTCCCATTAGACATTAGCTAAATTCGCTTTTTTTAAGATGGAACCTTTTGATAGGACCAAAAAATTATAAATCCTCTGAAATTCTTGAGATGGATATACAAATGCAAATACCTGTTCTTACTCTAACAAAAAACCCTGAACTCTTAACTAAACTAAAGCTAAAAAAATATTTTTACATAAATTATTTACAACTTCTTTACCATTTTGTAATGTAAAATTCCATTCCACCGAAATTCTATCTAGCAAATTCCTTTTAAATCTTCCGCAATGCTTTTAATATTCAATTCCTTGTTGTAACAAAAAATCAAGAAGAAAAAACTCCATTGAAAAAAAAAAAAAAAAAAAAAAAAAAAAAAAACAACAACTACTTCATCCTCCAATGAATTACATGAATTCCAACACCAAAGACTCTTTAGTTTGGCACATGCCCACAAGTTTTGTCACAAACTAACTAGCTTTAAGGCCTATGTCTGTGCGAAAAAAGCCTCCATCTCCATGGATGTACGAGAATATTTTATAGAAACAAACGAGCTCAATGTTTCACAAGAGCTCACAGACACAGGCACACACTCATAGAGAAGCAACATCCAAAAAAGTCACAAAACTTTTTTTGTGCATTTTTCTTTGCCAATAACAATGATAATAAAAAGAAACCCGAATCTGTAGTACTGTTGGATACAACAACAACAAAAATTTTAAATTGAAAAGTTCGATATGCTGTCTTAACACCAAGAGCAAGGCAAACCATTCGAATTTTAATGTGTACAAATATACTGCTGGCTGGCTGGATGGAGTAGTACCCGTACATATTTCGGCACATTTAAATTTGCTAGATATTTTCCAAAAAATATATATTTGCATGTTAGTGATGTGTATTATAGGACTTTTGCAGATATTCAGGAAATCTTTTGAAACCCGTAAAACCTTCTACAGGTTTTAGAAATTTTGAAGGTTTGTTATTATCGTGAACTTTTAGTAATAGAAATAATTGTCATACATATATATAAAAAAATTGCACCAACAATAAAATAATCCAGGTCAAGGGTGTATTAAACTTTATAAGGAATTTATTCATGAAAGACGTCAATTCTCAAAGGCTTTTAAAGTGGATTTTCAACATTCAACATATCAATCATTCATATCATATAATTTTCGACATAACCTATTTATTTTTAAAGACCTTTCAAGCTTGGATTGTCGAAATAAAAATTTTTCCATAGAAGCAATACAAACTTTCTGAGATATCTTAGTTGTTGATTTAGAATTTATATATTTAGGGGCTTGGTTAAAGGAATCGTAACGACGGTTGTTTTCAATATTTTTTGAAATAAGATTTATATAAGATATTCTGAATGACTCACGAAACTATTTTTAAGAAATATTGCCATCATCCCTTGAAATATGTTAACATATTTAACAATTGGTGTCCAGAAATATTTTCAAAGGCCTTTGGTTTCTTTCTCTGTTAAAATTATTCCAATGAAAGCTCATTATATTGTTTAGAAACGTAAAAAAGCATTTTGGTGAGAATTTTCCAGAATAAAGTTATTCGTGATGAAATTCATCATCCCTCGTTACCGTGATACTGCTAGCGTAGCCCGTCGTCACGAAATTTGACTGAAGAAAACAGCAACATCAGCATAAATGGTTCGAAAAGTAAAAAAGCGACTTGATAGAAAAGCGACTTGAGTTGAACATATCGCAATATTCCATTCGACAAATATTGAAAAATGAGCTCGGGGTAAAGCCATTGAAATTCCAAAAAGTGCAAAAATTTACACCCAACAGAAAGAAAATAAACTCAAAAGAGCTAAAGAGTTGCTTCGCTTTGTGGAAAGTGGTGAACTGCCGAATTTGGTTTTCTCCGAAGAAAAAACATTCGTTGTCCGGCAGTTGGTAAGCAAACAAACTGATCGAGTTTACTTGCCAAAGAGGTCAGCTGAAAATGTGTACCTTCGGTTGGCCACCAGAACTCAAGCACCGGCCATGGTGATGGTGTGTTCCGCTATAACAGCCGATGGCCGCTCTCCGCTCGTATTAATCGACCGTGGCGTCAGAATAAATGCCGAATATTATTAAAATCTGGAGGGTGTATAAAAGGCAAACATTTTGGCCGCAAACCTTGGACATTCCAACAGGACCCAGCACTATCGCACTCAGCACGCGCCACCCAAGAATGGTTACCAAATGACGTTCTTCGCTTCATTTCCATGGCACAATGGTCACCAAAATCTCTGGATACCAATCCGTTAGGCCAAAATACCGCAGAACAACATTTGGGCATCGTGTGACGGTTTCATTGGCCGTTTGAAGGCCATAATTTGTGCCAAAGGTGACCAATTTGAACAAATCTAAACTTATTCTAAAATTTTATGCTATTTCCGACATTTTTTACGTTTTTTCAATAAATTTAAAAAAAATGTAAGAATTATCGCGTTTGACTTTGTTGAAGCTTTTTTTTAGCTCATCCGTATTGAAGACATTCTGTGTATCAATAGGATATTTTGGAGATCTTCTATGATCGAAGTCATTTTGAATAACTGAGAAAAACACCTTTAAAACATCTGTAAGTGAAGGGCCCTTCAAGGTTTTCTATTAATACTTAACCATTTTAATGTTGTCTATCTTCTCTTTATTTGCCACGACTCGAAAATTCTCTTCCGTATACCGTATACGATTATATTCCCATTATTCGATCAAATTTCACACAACACTAATGGAATGTCATGTTTAAAGTTACCAAGCAAAACAAATAACAAACCTATTTGCTGTTTTATACACACACACATATATATATATATATATGGAGAGAGCATACAAATATTTACGCGCTGGTACCCGCCATACAAACAGACACATGTACACACAAACATATTTGTATATTTTTATAAGTAAAATATGTATATGTATGTATGAAGTGCCTGCTTTCAATTTGAGAGAAGTAAAAGAAAGTTTTGACTTTATTCATGGACATGGAAAAAGAGGGCCAACGAAATTTAAATGCTCCACACATACAAACATACACGCTCGTACATATGTATGTATATATTTTCTGGCAAAACGTTGGAAGGCAGTGAATTGTGAAAGCAAAGAGCGAAATATTGACTAACAACACATTTTAAAGTGTCAATTTACCGCTTTAATGCCAAAACAAAACTTTTGGTACTTCATTTCCGTTTCCTTTTTGCTTTTGTGGAGCAAAATAACGTAACGCCCAGCTACATTTCGTTGGCAGTCTCTGCCCCTAAAACACACATTCACACACAAACACACCCTGACAGCCCGTAATTGACGTGTTTTATTATAGAATTGCTCGTGCTAATGTTTTTCTTCTTTTCTTGCTTGCCGTTGCTATTGCTGTTTGTAGCTTGAATC